CTCTCTCTCTCTCTCTCTCTCTCTCTCTCTCTCTCCTTGGGGCCTTTTTTTTTTTTTTTTTTTTTGTATCGCGCACAGGGCGCAAATCCCTTAGCGCGTGCACCGCGCACAGCGGGCGGCACTGGGTACTGCGCAGAGCGCACAGCGCACAGTGCGCGCGCTGTCGTTCAAGTGCACAGCGCAGTGCGGACCGCCCTGCACCGCACTGCGCACTGGTGCGCTGCAACTATGCTCTTCAGTCTTCAGGATGTAACTGCTTGAAAGTTCATCTCAGATATGATGTTGCGTTCTGTTGTTGCTGGCACAGGTTTTGTGTGACAAATATGGCAATTGTATTCACCTCGGAGAACGGGACTGCAGCATCCAGGTGTGTGTTACAACACTCTTTGCCTTAGTTGATATGCTTTCAGCATTCAAGTCTTACCTTAGTTGCCGTAGATGGTATTCTTTGCTACTGCCTTCGTATTTGTGTTTGACCTGATCAATGTGGTTTGTATTCTGGACCAACTCCTGTGGTTGTGAGGCGGCTGGATGATGCTGGAGTGTGTCTTCTTGTTGTTTTGATCATAGCATGCCAAGATTCTCCTGGACACTGTCACTTGACTACTGATGCTGACTGTTGATTGGGACAGTTCTGCTTATGCTGCCGAGGGCCTGAATGGCGACACAATGATGAGTGGTCTGCAGTTGTGGACCGAGACTGAATAAACCTTTTTGCTGCACAGACTGCTCTTGGACATAATTTGCTGCTAAAATGGAAATCCTGCAAGTGAGAACCTTCCGCGAGGGCCATCTCAGCAGTTGATTGATTGCATTCATGCTTGCATCTGCTACTTATGCAATGTGCTTTGTCATGGTGCCTTTTTTTTATGGTGTGTGGATGATGTCAAACAATCCCTGTATAAACCCCATTCCAAAGTCTGAAGGCAAACTTTTGAAAAGGAAAACGAAAAAGAAAAATAAGAAAACTGGAGAAACATCCTAAGAGGGAAAAGGAAACGCTCTCTCATTATGTGTGTGTGCGCAAGGTGACGAGCAGTGAGACTCAATTGCATGGTGCGACCCCGTGTGTGTGTGTGTGTGTGTGTGTGTGTGTGTGTGCGTGCATGTGTGTGTGTGCCTGTGCTTGTGCCTGTGTCTGTGTCTGTATGCATGTCCGTTTGTCCATCTCCGTAAGTTCAATTGCATGGTCCTGCGTGACAGTTCTCCTTCCTTTCTTTTCACATCTGAGCTGTATGCAGTGGCCTGTTCTTGTATTGATGTAGCGTGTGTAATGCTGACATGTGACGCAGAGACGTAACCAGAAGCTTTTGGAAGAAGCACCATCTCCTGCCCTAACACCTGAGCTGAGAAAACGAATGGGCAGTGCAGCTGTGGCAGCTGCATCATCAATTGGGTACGTTGGTGTGGGCACTGTCGAGTTTCTGCTGGACTCATCAGGAGATTTCTATTTCATGGAGATGAACACCAGGATCCAGGTATTTTCATCATTCCTTAGGGGTCATGAGCTGCGTTGCAGGACTCTTGGAACTTCCTGCAAATTGTCATTACTTCAGGCCTAACGATGCCTGCTTCTCCCTCTCTTCCTCTCTTTTTCTCTTTCTTGTTCCCTCTTCCCACTTCGACCCTCGTCCCCACTCCCGCATTGCTGCCTCCCCCCGACTCTTCTGCTTTCCATCCCGCCTTCTTTTCCTCCTCTGCTACCTTCACTTATCCATTTCCACTTTCCCTCTGTTTCCCCTCTTCGGTTCCTTCACTACCACTCCTGAATTGTCCCTCTTCGGCCACTCTTTCTCCCCCTGATGCCTCTTCCTCTCCCCATTCTCTTCTCTTCTCCCCGTCTCCTCCCTTCCTCCCTGGGATCCCTTCCCTCCCTTTGCCTGCTCTCCTCCTTCCCCTCTCCCCCCTCTCTTCTCCCTATTCCCCTTCCTGCTCCCCACCTCCCTTCCCCTTTGTACCCTCCTCTTTCACTCAATTTGCCTCCCCCTTTGCCACTCCTCTCTTCCTTGCTCCTCTTCTCTTCTCCCCTCCCCTCGCCTCTCTCCCCTTTTGCCTCCACTTGCACACTCTCCCCGTGAACTGCTTCATATCCCCTTCTTTCTTCTTGCCCTCATCCCCCTTTCCTCTTTTTCCTTCCTCTTCAGTTCCTCCCCCTCCTCTGCTACCTTCACTTATCCATTTCCACTTTCCCTCCGTTTCCCCTCTCTTGTTCCTTTCCTCTCTGTTGTTTTTAACCAGGTCTTCTTCTCCAGGTCATTTCTTACTACTCCCTCACTGCCTCTTGGCTTCTGCTCCTTCATTAGTAATGTCTCTCTGGCTTGATGGCATCATAGCGGTTGAAGACTTTTTGTCATGCAGTGCGAGTTGCTAGAGGCCAGGCAGGGTCTGCCCTTGGTCTGAGCAGTCAGAATCAGGCCTTACCTTTGAATTTCCTGATGGTTCAACGCAGTGGGGCTCGGGGGTCTGTAAGCGGGGTATGACCTTGATATGCTTTCCATTTTTGTTTGCTTTCTTTCCTTTGCTCCTCCTTTTTTTTCCCTCCCTTTTTTTTTGGAGCCCAGCCAAACTTGTTTGTGTTGCAAATTTTGCAATTCTACAAATTTCGAAATGATTTTGTATTCCTGATGCTCCAATTGAGGGGGGCTTGGGCGTCTGTAAACGGGGTATGGCGTTGATAGGCTTTCCGTTTTCGTTTTCTTTCCTTTCTTTTGCTCCTTTCTTTTGCTCCTTTTTTTTTTTCCTCTTTTTTTTTCTGCTGGAAACTGGGTCCAGTGTCCCAAAGTATTACAATACATTCGGAATGCACAAGATATCCGGGGCTTTGGCCCTGCCACAGGTCAATGAGATGTTTCTAAGTCCCCCTTGCACAGAGTGCAGGTCTGTTGACCCAAGACCTATCCGGGGCCCGTCTCTTAGAGGCTCGACCTGCAACCCGCGGTCCCGGTGCAATACTACACCGGCCCCTGGACTCCTCCCTGGGGATTTGCATTGCGGGTTCAGAGGGTGTCCTCCCTGGTCGCACGGCCAGACAGTGTAACCCTCCATCAACTCTGTGTCTTAACCTCGAGTAACATCATTCTCAGTCCGACTTCGCTATGTCTACTTGTCTCTCCAAGTAGCATCATTCCCAGTCTCACTTCGCTGTATCTACTTGTCTACCTAAGACTGATCACTGTCGTCTGTTTGCCTCCTTGTCTGACATGGTGACCATGCGAGACAGATTCTGTCCTCCCCCAGTCTCCCTACATGCCCATCTCCCAGGCACTTGGACAGGAAGTTTCGCCGGATTTGGGGGGTTCTATCCGGGTACTTAGCCACCTGCAGCTTTGCCGTGTTCCAGTCCAGCTTGTACTCTGCTTCCAGCAAACTCAGCAACTGCTCCCATGCTTGCTGCACCAGCTACTGTTTTCCCTGCAGGACCATGATGCACCTTCTCTTCCATATTATCCACAAGGTCAACGGGTGGAGTCTCTGGAAAAGTGCAGTTTGGTACACCTCCTGGCCCGAGTCAACATGAAGGCCCAGGAAGGTTTGGCGCGGTTTGGCGCACCCCTGTAGAAAAAGGGTGGTCCGTGAGTGCGTGCCAGAAACAGTTCGCCCTGTCCCAAATCTGCCCAACCTCAGGGCATAACAGCAGGCAGAAGACTATCTCTTCTACCTGTCCTGTATTGCATAAAATGCATTGGGAGGGCGTCTCTGAGCTGCAGCGCTCGGTCCTGCATCTGCTCAACCATTCAGCGAGCGGGAGGGTGAGGTACGCGATCAGCCACTGCATGCTCCTGACGCGCGTATTGCTAATGGCAAGGATCGAGTCCCACAAGGCCGATGACTGCACGTCCAGCTTGACATTCAGATGCCTCACCCATCTCAATGGAAGCCAGTTTGTGACTGCTTAGTCTGTAACCAAGTTTGGTGGTGTACTGTAGGCGTGCAGGGCGCCTTTGTCGGCAGTGCAGCTTCCAGGCCCACTCCATGGGGTCTACGTCTAGCTCCCACACGGATGGTGGGGCAGAAGATAGTGTACTCCGTGTTCATCACCACTCTGACTTTGCGCAGTTCACCCATCCTGACAGCCACCTGTCCCTCGGTGTTCCCAGTAAGGGGGCTGGTTGACACGCACGGGATACTGATGCGATGCATGCTGAAGAGGTGCCAAACTCCATCTGGCGAAGCTCTGGCAACGAAGGCTAGACCCGTTGTTGGGGTCTCTTCGCCCTTGACTGTTGCCCAGTCCGCGACCTCCCACTTGTCCGGTTGCTTCAGCATGTCAATCCACTCCAGTGGAATCGACATTAGTATGTCGTTATAGTTTGCCTGGAGGTTGTGGATTCCGCCGAGCATTTCCCTTAGTTCACCGGTCGTCTTCCACCGCTGCTGCTGCTCATGCCAGATATGCCTTATTTGCCAGACCCCTTTCTCTAACCATGCACCCCACCTCAAATCTGATGCCATGAGTTTCCACGGTTTGCCTTGCGGGTCCACCAACCATTGGTTACAGAACAACGGCTGGCGGAGGACCTCGTCTCTGCGCCGGGGTTGTCGGACTTTATCGTCGCCCTCCAATTGTTGATGAAGTGGGTGCAGGGTGCGGTATTGTTTCCCCTGCCAGTCTTCGCCCAAGATTTTGTCATGAGCCCCTGCATGTTGCAGGGTGAAGTGTATCCGGGTAGCCTCCTGATCTGCTGCATAGCCATTGCATGCCACAGAAGGTGGGAGTGTGTTATTAACTTGACTATCCATTTTGTCTGCAGAGCCCTGACCTGGCGCTCCGGGTCTATGACCCGAATCCTCCATCCTTCTTAGGCAATTTCACATATTTCCACGCCACTTGGGGGATGATCTTTTGCCTTGACGGGTCGCCGGTCCAGAGGTACGCCGTCACCCTAGTTTGAAGAGGCTTCCCCAGAGCCATGTCCAAGCTACACACTGTGCCTGCATACCATAACATTGAGAAGATCGAGGCATCAAGGACCAGGGCCCTTCCAAACACGGAGGTATATACCCTGGCCCACCTATCCATTTTGTTGAGCATTTTGGTGAGGATCTCCAGTGCCTGTGCCTGCGCCTACCCCACCTCTGTCATCCGTATGCCAAGGTACCGCAATGCTTCATCACTCCGCTGCCATCACAGTCCAGGGTGTGATGGCTCTGGGGTGGGAAGGTCATCTCTCGTGAGCCACCAGCCTACCGTTTGGCCCAGTTGACACACATCTCGGCTTCCAGCTGGAACGCTTGCACTGCTGTCGTGAGTGCATGGAACGAGGAGTCCGAGGCCCTGATCTGGACTTTCAGGTCTTCAGCGAAGAGAACGGGGGTGGGGAGCTTGGTACCCCCTTTGTTACGGACTCAGCCAGGGCTCGATGCCTGGTCCGCGGGTTACCACCCGCCAGGCTGCTATAGTCTCTGATCTCCGCTGCCTGACTGTTGGCACCCTCTGCAGTTGGCACCGGTTCTCAAATCCCTCCTCAGGCATTTTTAGATTTCGATACTTGGCGCCATTTGGCATTCTGGCGACCAGGCTCAGACCTTCGATTTTCAGTTCAGTCCCAAGGCAAATTGCATTTCTGCCCTTGGGACTGAACTTGAGTCCGGTACTTAAGACCGAACTCAAGCTGAGTTCGACATTGAGTTTTCGGCCTCAGTGCTTGCGCTTCAGTGTGACTTGCTGCAACATTGTGGCATACTGCGCAGCCACACGGGCCTGCAAGGCCCGACCAGACGGAAATTCAGGGCTCTACAGGCCCTGTGTCATTTCAGCCTAAAAGCCTGAAAACAAGGGCCTACAGGCCCTGTGTCGTTTCAGCCTAAAAGCCTGAAAACGAGGGCCTACAGGCCCTGTGTCGTTTCAGCCTAAAAGCCTGAAAACAAGGGCCTACAGGCCCTGTGTCGTTTCAGCCTAAAAGCCTGAAAACGAGGGCCTACAGGCCCTGTGTCATTTCAGCCTAAAAGCCTGAAAACGAGGGCCTGCAGGCCCTGTGTCGTGTCAGCCTATAAGCCTGAAAACGAGGGCCTTTTTCAGGCCCTCATAAGATCGACCTGCCCTGAAACTTAGGCACCAGACCAGGGTTTTAGCACAGGCCATTTTGGGCCTGTTTTCAAGACAACCTTCGTTTGAACTTCAACGCCAGGGTCTGGCACGTTTTGGCATTGGCAAGAGCAGCCTCCTGGACGGGCCAGCACTATATAAGACTGGCCCGCCCTGCAGGCTGAAGGGAGTCACGAGGCAGTTCATAGGGGCTTCCCAGGCACTTCACGTGCAGGAGGCAGGAGGCATTC